AGTGGGAATAAAATTGACCAATATTAATTTTGGCTTAAAGAAGTCATCACCTGTTTCAATGCTTTGTTATCATTCATATTAAAAGGGTGGTATAAGTTTTACGAAGCACATATGTATTTTACTGGGGCACTAGCGAGTAGTTCAGAAAAGTGTTCATGAAAATGAAAAACATAATAATAATAGTAAAGAAGGATAAAAAGTTGTTAGTCAAGGTCCAATCAGCAGATAGCAACCACACGATAATTTAAACAGGGAACATTTGATATAAAGAAGTATTCACTATAACAGGAAAAAACTCTATACAGCAGTAAAGAGAATTCCAAAAATTACCCTGGTGTTGAGACAGATTACACAAGAAAGGAACAGGCTTGAAAGGTGAAGTCCTTTCCTGAATGTTGGGATTCAGACTTCCTTAGGGAGGGTATTGATGGGGCCCACTGGATGGCAGAGTAGCTTGTTGAGTTACCTTGAGTGAGAGTTGGTCCACAGGCCCCAGGCAAAGTGGAAACACCCCTCTTGGGTGCCACTGAAACTTGATGGAGGTGAGAGTTGCTTGGATGGTCCACACACATGCTGCTGGCAGCTGCACAATAGGAACAAGAAGTAGATGGAAAAAAGGAGGAAGAGAGAGTCACCTTCTTCCTTCTTCCTGCAGTGTCTCTCCATCACCCCCTGCTGAGAAATCTTAACATATAAGTTGCAAAGAAAAACTATGTAAAGGGCCCCAATCCATTTTCACACAGCAGGCAATGAGGGGTAGATTTGGAGCTGAGGGGTATAAATTGATCATTTTGATGGTTATAGTTAACTTTCTATTTTCTACCTTCTCATTTCCATGTGGACACATGTGCTGAAGTTTCCAAATAGCTTCACTTTATCAATTCTCCTAAATATTAGAACAATCATATTCTAAAGGATATGAGCATATCCAGGCTTTGGAGCCACTTTGGTGATAAATACAATATGCTCAAAAATCGCCTATAAACCTAAGGGTTTTCCAGAAATCTAAACCATAAGTTTCTGAAATGGTGATTAAGTGGTTACCATCTTAATTATATATTGCTTATTGTTTATTTTATTTTGTTTGAAGAGGTAAGGGAAAAGATAGGGCACTGAAATCGTTTATATTTTATGGAGGGTTTTTTGTTTCTGTTTTTCCTGATTTCTAGCTTTTTTCCGCCTTGACAGTTGTTTGTTTTATAGAAATTATATTCCTCTCAATATCTATGAATATCTGTGAACATCAGTGCAACACCAAAATCTGTGAGGACTGGAACTTATACAAATTGGAGAGGGATATGCTTTAAGGAAAAATAAATAAATTCTGACTTCTGTAATTCATGTGAAAATATCCCACTAAGCCTAAAGTAAACGTGTATCCAACCCAACTTCTCAGCCAGACCCCACCAAGTCCTACAGCCATTCCCTTCGTCTCAAATCAAGGAAAGTAGAGTGGAAGATAAATTAAAGTAGAAGAAAACATCACTCTTAACTGACTGTAGCCAGATACCACACGTTTGCAAATTTTCCATAATCATGTGAACCCATGGCTAGGGTCTTCCTAGCATCTTAGAGTGGTGTTGACCTGTATGTGGCCTTCAAATTTAAGCCTCATTAGTTTCACATTAAATCTAGCTCTGGTGATCAATCTATACTTTACTGAGGTCTTTTCTTTACTTACCTGTTCTGTGGGATTTCCTTCAAATGTCTGGCAAATCTTGGGTTTTCTGTGTACATTTATTAATGGAAGGTGGGCTGATCAGTTTAGGGAGGTGTCCTGGATACCCTCTTTAGAAGATCTATATACTCTTACACTCTGATGTAAGAAATGGTCAGTAATGACAAAATTTCTGAAAACCTATAGTCTCCTACACTGAGCTGTAACTGTGCAGTTTGTTCTCTTTTAGGGAACAAACTTCTTTAGCACCTCTTTGGTGTTAAGTAAGGAAATCTAAATTAGGCACATTAGTTCCATTGATGTTGCATGAATATAATGTTTACATTATATTCAAAATGATTCTGAATTTCTACATATGGAAAACAGCCAGCTGACAAACATTAAACGGGAGGCTGTGTTGCATTGATTTTGTTTTAGAATCAGATAAGCCTGACTTGGGTTTCCAGGATCTGTAACTACCATCTGCAGAAGTTGGGGCAAGTTCTGTAAACTTCAACAACTTCATCTAGAAAATAAAGATAATCATAGAGTTCAGATAAGAGTTAAGCAAAATATAGCAAAAACTGCAGTATTTGTCACAGAGTAAGCAATAAATCATAGCAGTCATTGTTATCATTATTGGTGGTGTTGCTATTATGATGAATTACGAATTTATAGTTAATAATTACATAGTGTATCATGGTATGCATTTTGTGAACTAAAAGCATTTACACGGGTTTTATCTCACACCCTAATCTTTTCTTTCCCTTCTTCTTAAAGCTCTCACACATTTCCAGCATATGTTATCTTTCTATATTTTATGCATTAATATAAACTGCTTTAATTTATTTTATAGCAAAGTGGGATTTAAATGAATATACAAATAGATCGGTAAAAATATATAACTATGTAAACAGGAGTTACATGTATATACAGTAATCTGGGGCAATAAATTACAAAATGTCACGAGACCTGATACGATTTTTGTTTTATGTCATCAAAGGGAAGAAGTAGGAGACACAATCTCAAAGCAATGCAGAAATCAACTAGAATTTAACCTTTATAAGCACATGAACTTTGCCCTGTTTAATGTCTGGGACAGTGCTTGGTATACAGGAGAACTTCAATGCTTATTTGTTGAATAAATACATCAATGAAGTCAATGACTATTATTTAGTACTTTCATGAAGCCGAGAACTCTGGGCTACAACAGATTTATACAAGCAAACCTAACTCTCCTTTCTGGAACTTACCCTATAGTATTAGAAAACAAACTCCCAAGAAATAAGTATTATAAGGCAGATGGCATTGCAATGGAAACTCATGCATAATACCGTGTGTGTGTGTGTGTGTGTGTGTGTGTGTGTGTGTGTGTGTGTGTGTCTGTGTCTGTGTCTGTGTCTGTGTGTATGTTTTGGACATGGGAGTGGGTGTTTGAGGACTGTACATCGATTCCACCTGGGAGGAATCTGACAGAATCCTTATATTTATTACAGATGCCCTTTTTTTGTAAGCCTGCTGAACTCCAGAGCCTTGTTTGACATATTTCAGGTGCTCAATAACATTTTAATTATCACTACTCCAGTAGCATGAAACATACCGACTTGCTCCCTATTTAAGGTATGAAAGTATAACTGAATACATGAGTGTGCTAAGTACCCTTGCAATAAATATCTTGTCTGAATACACAAGTCTAGGATTACTAGATTTTTCCTTTAATGCTCCAGCACACTTTTTAGATACATGCTGGGTCATTTAATTGCAATTAGAGGCGTACAGAAGAACAAGACATGTCAAGGCTCCTTTTATTTACTGGATCACCTATTAGAGGCAGAAGCCAAGTGGTGACGGACTACGACTGGGGGTCGGATCACTAAATTGAAGATCAGGCCCTCACTATTTACCCACACCTACCTTCCACAATACATGCAATTTCACGGGAAACTGTAGAAGTTGAAAATGTGTCCTTTTCTTTGAAAGGGCTCTTAACAATCTTGTTTCTTGATGAATGAATACCAGCAACAACAAAGTCAACTAATTTAAACTATTGCTTTTATTATAATTACACGGGAGCACAAATAATAAGCACAAAAGTGTTGTAAAAGATTGCCAATGCACTAAAGAAAACAATTGGTCTTCAAACAACATCTGGTTACTTCAGTAGTATCAAAGTACATTTATAATTACATATTACCTAAAAAAATCAAGTACAAAAATTAAGAGAAACTAAAACATCAGTGTTTATATTATTATGTATATAGAAATGGCTAACACATGAGTAGAGAAATCTGTTAGCTAATGCTCATTTGCACAATTTTTCAGGCACGTACCTGACATTTTTAATGAGTTATGAAAAATGCAGTACAACATTCAGATTTTTAGATATGGTAAACATGTTTTGTTGGAATGGATGTTAAATGGTTTCTTTTAAAAACCCTGTCTTGTAAAAATGTAGTGCCATTATCCACTAAAAAACATATTATTTTATATCATTTTCTCAATAGCTATTTGTTTCAATTTCTTGAAAAGAGCAAGAAAGTAAACATACAATTGCTAAATACGTAAACACATTTTTAGTGCAAGATAACAAGACCGGTGACTTCACTGTGCTTTGTTTTTATAACCACAGTGCACTTGACACAAATTGCTACACTACAAATGTTAGCGTAAGGAGTTCCAAACAAAAGAAGTGCATACTAAACATTTTCATATATATTATATACAGTATGTATGCTGTATGTGGGTGTATACATGTGTAAATGGAGATACTTTTAGGGTGGGCAAACCCAGTCATATTTGGAAACAATTGAATACTTCAAAAAGATTTCACACATGTTTGGTTGCAATCAATCCAACAATATTTCTATAAAGATGTTCCCCTTAAATCTGAAAGGTTATAATAGTCAAAGGGAAACGTACAGACATTATTTTTTCAGATTACACACATTTTTCTATGATGTAACTGACCCAAATATCAAAGGGTTTTAAATTAATCCAAACCCCAAGCAAGAGTGTTCAAGCCCAACATGGCAAAACGTGTTATCCTTTTTACTGATTTACACAGACAGCAATACATAGCCTATGTGTACATATAGAGGCTTACACATCTTTTATACTTAGACATTAAATTTAATATGTTTTAGTATTTTGACTGTACACTTGATCTGAAAAAAAAAGAGAATACCATATATAAAGACATGAGATGTCAAACACATGATATTGTATATCTTCTTAAAAACAATTTGTTTTGAAAATATTAATGATTGCACAATTCAGCTTTTCAAAGGCAGGGACCACATCTTCTTGAATGTTTAATGCCAAATGCTTCAGAATTTTGTTTAAATAACTGGTACATAAGTTTCTCAATAGTGAGCTGTTAAATAACAGATTAACAACAAATTGTCCACCTTCCACAGTTAGCTATCGATTTTTCCATTTAGGGAAGATGTCATGAGTTATCTTAAGTACTATACGTACCATTTTGTTTCACTTCCATTTAAGTTTGGGACCCAATACATTATGAATTGCTCTTCTATTTTTCTCCCATTCCTTTGCAAGTGTGAATTAACTCTCATCTCAGATTACTGACTGCTTAAATCATAGGCATCTTAGTTTCATAGGTAGCCAAAGTTAGCTTGTAGGCGCTTGGCTATTTTGAGCAAGTGGTTCACCTTAACACATAAGTTATATGAAAACTGCATTGTATGTGCATTGTTTTGATGTCTTATTTAATTAGCTAAAGACATATCCTAATAGGATTGTTTAGTTTCTTGACTTGAGCACTAAACTCACTCAAAACCGGCAACCCAAAATGTGTGTGAGAATGAGGCCTAAGCCAAAACGTAGTAAGAAAAATGTTTCTCTGCTCTCCAGGAGCACTTAAAACAAAAAACTATTTGGAACCTCGGTGTCTCTGAAGTCTCAGTGTCATTATTTTGAAAAGGGAAGTTGTACCTAGTTGTATCCAGACAATTGCTGTGTATTTGAAGGTGTATATTCTTTAAAATTGCAAATTTTAACCTCCTAACAGTTTGTTTTGCTTCACTTTCCCAACAATTGTATATGGGTAGACATTCTCCTGCATTTACACAAATCAATCACTTTTCACTCCAAACTTGTTTCAATGGCATAAACATGGGGGAAAGGGTGGCAGTGTTTATGTCAAGAACTATGATACCTCAAAATACACTGGCTACTGGGATTGGGCAAACATGCAGGACTGATTTTTTTCCTTCCCATTAATTCTAAAGAAATTTGTCTCTTCTCTGCTGAGAAGTTTTCACATATAAAAGCATCTTGCTGACAGCCAATAAAATTCTGTTTCTAGAAAATGTGCTGTGAAAAAACCATTTTTCATAGGTATGAGCTCTTTCAACCTGATAACCATGCCATGTAAGATTTGTTCTTTGGCACTGCTAAAAAATATGAGTGTTGTCATTCCATAGGGTTCTGGCTGTAGGTAAAATTTTTTTGAATCATCTGAACAAATTCATAGATTGAAGTGTCCTGATTGACTGCCACTAGAGAGTAAGCTTTATTTTTTTCCTCTTTATTCTAATCACCTCTTTTCCTCCACATAAAGAAACACTATACAAGGAAGAAATTAACTATAGAATGGCTATTGCCACATAGGCTAAGCTGCAACGTACAGTTCTATAGGCACGTAGTATGTTCTTGAGTCATATATCGGTGAAGTTACTTTTCCAGATCTTTCAATTATTTCCCATTGTAAGCAAGATTTGGAGAAATTAAATAAAAATAGTTGCCTGAGGTCAGATTTTCGAATAAGTTGCCTTACTAGAAAATTAACCTGCTTGAAAAAAGAGTGCATGAAACGGTGGGAATGGCTGAATCTAACACAAATCATTTCAGTGCCTCTACTTCCTTCTTGACAAGTGGCCAGCATTAAAAAATATCATCGGCCTCATTCAGTGAGATATGGAAAAGGTGAGCATCTGAAAAACACATTTGTATGTGTTACCTAAATATAAAATTCAAGGGAATTATCCAATCATCACCCTACTGAGCCTGAAATATATGTATATATCAATGTCATCATAAAGATTCTGAGAATTGATGCCTTATATCTGATTGATTGGCTTGAGTATATGTGGACATAATAACTTAAATCAGTATAACAACTTGGGTCATAAACACATTTATTTTTTTTAATTGTGATTTTATCTTAACACCTTTTCTTCACTCTTAGATTTGTGCTCCATGGATTCTTGGGCTTAAAACATAACTGGTGAAAAATGGCAAAAGGATTTATTTAAGCTACTTAAGCTCTCTCCATGATTTCCTTTACTCATGATTCTGCTTTTTTTACCACCTCAGTTATACAAGCAAAACCTAAATCTTCAGAAAGCATTTTACGTATACGGTTCTCCCACTGAGTCCTCATTCACGCATACACGTGCACACACAACAGATACACATGCTCCCACTTACCTTTTCTTCCTTCTCTTTCAGAATTCTAATTGGACATCAAAATATACATTAATTATAAAATATTAAAAATTATCTTATAAGATTTCAAAAGCTTGAAAAGAACTATTACTGATAAAGCATTACTAGGTTTTTAGCAATATAGATTACAAAAATTCCCTAACTCCTGTTATATTTGGTTTTTATTGAGCAACACTGTACTATTGCTGTCAAAACCCTTACAAAGAAAACCACTGATGACAACTTCAAACACATACCTTTTCTCTCAGAAATATAATACTAAATTGATAAAGAAGAACCACATACTGTCAATTTTAGGAAGCATAAATAGTAATTTAAATATACAAAATATATGTGATAGTCTCCTTTATTATTCATCAGTGGCAATATTTATATTCAACTACAAGTTACTCTTAAAAGATATATATGATTTGTTTAACTTAAATTTCACCACCACATAAAATTGAATCTATCCCATCCCTGATCCCCTGCATTTCCTGTTTCTTCCTTGAAACAAAATAAAATAAATTAATGGTCATAATTCTTTGGTCGTGGTGTCATAATCAGTAAGGATGGGTGTGATGAGCATACACAGATTATGACCCCAAAATGTGGTGATAACTAGTTTGAAAAAATTAACAAGAAATACTATTCCATTAATGGACATAAATTTCGGGGAAGATTGGCATTTAGTGTACTAAAATATGTAAGCTCATCTGGTTAAATGTGTATTTCTCATTTTCTAAGGGAAACATACACATGAAAAGTTACTTCAATAGTGATTCCAGTGGCTCTCATGCCACTGGTCCCATCTTCTGGAAAGCAGTCGTGCTGTTCAGCTTTCGATTCCTTGTTCCTTCCATTGTCACAGTGAACCCTGGTCTCCTCCAATCAGATCAATGATGCATGGACACATATCCCTAACGTCATTTCTGAAGGAAATATCTGGACATTCTGCTAGGATGTCCAAATATACCCTAATCACTTTTCTCTGGGGTCTGATTAACCATTCCTTGGTATCAAGACAATATTAAAGAGAAATTCTTAAGCCAATGTAGCAAAAATATTGGTGTTGATGTAACATGGACGTCCAAATTAAGCATCACACTTGCATTCATTTCCTGTCAAACCCTTAAAAACTTACAAAGCAACAGATGTTCTTCATGAATATGATATTCAACTTCTACATTACTAGCACCAGATCATATATTATGTGATTGAACATGATTTATAGCCATGAGCTCTTGTACAGAAGCCAAATGTGGGCAGAAAAAGAAATACATTAACTGTAAAAATTAATAATAAAAGGCATCAAGGGATTACATATAAAAGAGATAACAAACCAGTTAATACCGAAATTATGTCATATAGTAAAACTCTTAATATTTCTGTCATTTATAGACGTATAATGTATTATTTCAGGTGTCACCCATAAACTAGTAAAATATTTACATCTTAATCTCTTCTGGATTCAAAATAATCCGTGATAAATAAGTGTGCCTTAATTGCAAGGAAACATACATTTTATCTTGAACTTGCCATAAGCACGGCTTCCCATGGGTTTTCCAGGGAAGCGCTGGCATTCCATTCCAACAGAAAAGATATATAACAGTTACGTATCACATGACCGAGTCGATCTCCCTCTATGTGGGAAGTAATGTGGAGCTAACGCCACCCTGTACACCGTCATATGGCAGTATCCCAGAATACCGTTTGCTGTTTAGAATAGGGCGGGGGGCTGTACTTCTTTGCGCCTGCGTTCTTCTTCCAGCTGGGCAGGATAGGCATGCTATCCTGTTTGCAAAGGCCCTTTTCCGTTTTCTGTCTAGCCTTTATTTCCTTGCACAAGCAACGCTTTTTCTCAATCATCTCAAGCATTGTATGGTCTCCATGAAACCACGGCATGCATGCCACCTGGCAAAAAAGAAAGAGTGAATATAGGAGAAAAAAATGGTATGAAAGCAGGTTTTTTTTCTTTTTTTTTTTCACTGTGCTAGTTGTTTCAAAAAATGTTGGCTGTTTCTATATCTTTGAAATTCTTACAAAGCGAAATTAAATAAACCATAAGTAAAATTTCTACTTAAATTAGGAAACATTGTGATAGTATTAGGCAATAATTTAGGCATGAACAGTTTCTCCATATGTTGCAGAAGTTCACATTATAGAAACAAAACCTTTTTTGTTTTAATCTTTTAAAGCAATTTGCCAAATATTTACCTATTACATGTATGTTGGCTCCATTGTCTTACAGATCCCAATATGTGTAAGTTCATTTATTAGAATTCCTTTTCAGTGGCTTCTAGTATGAATGTGATATGTTTTAAAGATTTTAAGGAACATTTTCATCCTTGAAATAAAACTTGGACTTGTTTATAATTAGCATGCAGAAGTAAAGCTTTTTAATAATTCTTCTACCAAAATGACATTCAGTGTGCATCTAACACTTAGAATTTAAATGCTTAAGTAATTCTTCTGCAAAGAAGTTTTTGCTATATTGTTTGATGCTTCAGCCAATGCCTGACGTAGAATCATTGGCCTCTACAGTCATGCTGGCACAGATCCCGCTTAGTTCTAGAAAATCAGAGAAACAAGTCATCAGGTCAACTGGGTAGCAGCAGAAGATTCAGTGCTGACTATATATTGACACACATACATATATTTTTGGGCCGATAGACGCTGCTTCCAAGTATATATGGCCACGCCCACCAATAACTAATCTTTTAAACAGAGTAGCAGGTTGAGCCTGTGACACAAGGATGGCGATGATTGGGCCATAAACCCAGGATGGGGAGGCTTCCACTTAATGGTTTAAGCAAATCTACCCTGTGACTTGAAAGATGAAAATAGCTCACTTGGAGTTCCTCGGTTTGATGTTAGAATTTTAGGACAATAATCAGAGCAAACACTTAACACTTACTCTATACCAGGTCCCATTCTAAATAGTACTTTGCATAGTTTAATTCATTTATTCTCACAATGATGATGCTCTGAAGTATTTATTAAATGAAGTGATGAGTAAAATGAGACTTAGAGAGATTTGGTAACTTGCCTAAGGTTACAGAACCAACAAGTGGCAGCCAGGATGTAAGCCCCAGAGTTCATCTCCAATACCCACGTAACAACAACACTGTATTTTCAACGTTCACATGACTAGAAAGGATTGGGGAGATAAATGAGTGCAAAGCCCTCAAAATGTACAGAGGAGGATGTTAAGACTTCAAGAAGTCACGTCTTTTCAAGGATTACGTAGGATAATGAAAGTGAAGTCATTTTTAAAAACAGTAAGGCATTACCCAGTAATTGTTAATCTAGTACTAATACTAATAAGAATTATCAATCTAATCTAATACTAAAGACCTAGTAGTTTTCCAGAACACCTGCTTTCTGCCAAGCATGTGCAAAGAGCTCTCTGATGCACTAAAAGTTAGAATTTATCTACACGGTACAAGTGAGAAAACTGACTCTTGGAAAGTTTTAAGGCACTAGATCAAGTTCACAGCTTATTAGCTGTGGTGCAGACCTACATCAGACTCAGATATGTTTGACTACGAAGTGACTATTCTCACTATTAGAGCATGCTCACTTTCCTGAGTGTGATTTAAAAATTATAATACTAGTTATTGTTGCATGTAAGACTGTTTCCAGGTGCTACTCAAAAATGTGAATATATTTATGTTTTTTATGAGTCAATAAACAGTGATTATCAAATAAAACAAAATCAAGGAACTTGCAGTCCCAGAGACGACACTCTTAGATACATTTCTTGAATGTGCCTGACTTGATATAAAATTCCTTGAAAGTCTGGGCTGTGTATTATGCCCTTCTGTGTCCTATCCTCTAGCCCGGGGCCTTGACCTTGGGTGTTCACTTTTTAAATGAAATTTAACTCTTTTGCTGCCACATTCGGATATGTTTTCCTGTGGCTTGCACTATTAACAACAAAGATCTTTTGTATGCCATATTATGTAACATTTTTAATAAAATTTTCTATGTCATCGATGTCATTAGATTCTAATTTTTCTATACCTAAATCTAATTGATGCCACTTATTGGGTTGTCGGAAAAGTCATGACACATTTTTGCAAAGAAAAACATAGAAAAAAATATATCATGACTTTTCTGACAACCCAATAGTATGTTTTGAGTATTTTTTGCTAAAATTCAATGTAACGGTAAATTTATTACCATATAACCAAAGTTTAATATAAAAATCATGTTATTTATGTACAGAGTAGCTCAAAATGTTATTAAATGAATAAAAGTCAAAATGCCAACTTTTTATTTTTTGTGGATTTTTGACACATTTTGAAAAAAAACAAACAAACCTGAAATCAACTAATGCAGTGAAACAATTAAAGCTTGTTAGGTTAATCTAACCAACAGGTTTTTGTCCCAACAGGACTGCCAAAGTAGCTCAGAAATTTTTCAAAAGATTTATAATATTTTGTAAATTAATAACCTATGCAATAAAAATACAGTAACTCTAATTTAGTGGAAATACAAGCAAAATTTATTGAGTGACTATACACTGTTAGAAATGGAATTTGTAATACAGAATTCCCAGAGCATAGGCCCCAAATCTCATCCATCTCAGTAGCCCCAACACACAGAAAAGTCTTTGAGCTCTCAGTTAAAATTTTATGAATAACTAGAAGCCACCATCATTGAACTCATTGAACAGTTTTTGTTGCCTCTCAAAAAACTCTCCAGATAAGATATTTACAGTATCACTTCAATATTTGCATTGTATTTACTGGTCCACACAAACATTAAATCATTTTTTATTATTATTACTTTAATATTTAGGTTGTGAATCAGTATATGTCACTGCAAAACATTAATATCCCTGGATTAGCTCTGATAACAGTGTCACCAATATATTTCATAGTTGTCATTACATTTTATATATGCATAACTGCATTACATTTTCTATAATATGTGTTTTCTGTCAATTAGAAGCTAAGTATGTTAGTTTGTTAAGAATAATCCATTCTTTAAAAACCTAAAGAATAGACATTTAAGGATAAAGTTATAAATTATGGTTTTCATATTCTTTACATTTTTATTTTGGAATAGTTATATGTCCACTTGATTGATATAGTGGTTTAAAATATTAATAGAAGAAAGTCAACCTTTTTTTTTTCACACTGACCCTATAATATTAACCTCACCAACTTCTTTGGTGGCCAGGTGTGTCAATACAAATTCCATGAGAAAGCACTGCCTGACACATGAGAGAGGGCTAGATATGCTAAGAGAAGTTAAAGACAGGTTGTTAGAAAATAGCCAATTAATTATTTTCCAAAATTTTAAATATTTTTACAAATCTATCTGTCAAGTTTGGTATAGAATCTTCTCATGTTAAATCTGCTATCAAACATTTTTTTCTAATTTAAAATACCCAAGAAAATTACTGTTATGTTTCAATAAGAGGAATGAATGAAGAATGTGATTGTTGGGAAGATAAATCTACTTCCCATATTGACTTTTAAATAGCATGCATTTCTGTATTTCTTTCTGGAGGGTGCACATTCTTTTTACTTCCCTAATGTTACTGCTATGGCCATTTACATAACCAAATCTCCCTCCTCTAAAATATGTCTAAACATTGTATTTCATTCTGATAGTAAGATGTTACACTTCAATTCATTCATTTAGACAAAACGAATAGCAAGTTTAGCAATTATAGGGAGTGTGTTAAGAATGTTACCCATAAAAGATTTCATACTTTCCTATTTTTTTGTTTTATCATTAAATTCTTCATAGCCAATTTTAATTTAGCTGTAAAATCCCATTGTACTTCACCCCGGAGTTGAAAGAACTCTGGGAGTTGATTTACAACTAATTTGAAACTAAGCCCAGTAAATAAACTCTTCTATTGGGTCATCAGGAAAGTCATGATGCATTTTTGCATTGAAAAACAAAGAAAAATATGTCGCGACTTTCCCGATGACCCAGTAGTTTAGCTATTTAGTCAAGTGTCCTTGTTTCTTGTCTTTAATCCAAATGTGTTTAATATATACACCAGGAAGGAAAGAAAAAAACAAACAAACATACACAGGCAAGAAAGTATACAATGAGAGACAATTGTAAACAATACATCAATTGATAAGAACACATGTACATCTATCTCTTGGACAAGGTTTAACATTACTCAGCAGAGACAATATTCTTGACTAATAAGTCCATGGACAGAAAATTGAGTGGAGCTCCACCTCAGGGAGGTGAAACATAAATATCCACCCCTTAAGTATAGACTCCACACAGTGACTTCTTCCTAAAGAGTACAGAACGTGAAGGGGAAGGAGAGTACCTTTACAGTGGAGAAACCTGGCGAATACCACCTATACACCAGGTGATCAGAGTGATAAGTGATGTTGACAGAATGTACTCATCATGATGTGGTGAGAAAGGCAGGCTACCTCTGTGGGCGTCCTGCCCCAAACCATAACGCCAATCTAACTTTGAGAAAAACACCAGACAAACCCAAATGGAAGGATAGTCTATCCAAATATCAGTCCAGTAATCCTCAAAATTGTCAAGGTCACAAAAATATAGAAAGTCTGAGAAGCTATCATATCCTAGAGAAGGTGAAGGAGACATGATGACTAAAATTAATGTGGTGCCCAAGAATTGAGGCTGAAAAGATAAACACTAAAGAAATCCAAGTAAAGAACTATGGACTTTAATAATAATGTATCAATATATGACAAATGCATCATGGTAAGACACTAACAATAGGGGGAAATAGGCGTGGGGTATACAGGAACCCTCTGGGCACTTTTTGCAGAATTTTTGTAAATTTAAAACTAAAAAAAAATGTATTTTCAAGAATCACATCATGGGACCCTATTCTTTCCAAAGAATAGGTAACTGTATCTTTCATTTTTTTTTTATATGGAAGCAGCATGACA